TCTCTTATTTCGTCAGCCGCTTCCACTGAGGTACTTCAGGAACGTGCTGGTTCTCGGGTGATGCACTTCCTCATGAATCTTCGCGCGGAGTTTGAAGGGATTCGAGCTTCCCTGCTGCATAGGGGTGTCTCCACGATTGAAGCTGTCCTCCCTGAGCTTCTTCGTGAAGAAACACGGCTGAAGAGCCAAGCGAAGCTTGACATCCATGCTTCGGAACCCGCCACTGTCTTTGCTGCAACTTCTGGACGTCCTCAGTTCACACGTACTTCCTCGGCGCGAGATTATATGTCATTTTGCAAAGAGCCAGGTCACATTCAGTACCATTGCAAGAAGAGGAATACGTGCAATTACTGCAAGCTTGACGGCCATCTTATTGCTGATTGTCCGATCCTGGCGAAACGTGGTCGTCATCGTAGCGGGCCCGGGTCATCTCGACCTCCTGGCGGTTATGCTTCACGTCCATCTGGCAGTGTGTATGCCGCATCGGAGGCTGCTCCATCTCCTACTGGCTTGACTTCGGAGGATGTGCGGCGGCTGGTTCAGGAGGCATTGAAGGAGGCGTTTGCAACGGGTATGCCTTCTTCCTCTATCTCTCGTCCTTGGCATTTAGACTCAGCGGCCTATAATCACATGACTAGTGATCGACGGTTATTTTCTACACTTGATTCCTCTTGTTTACCACTTGATCTTCAAGCCGCTGATGGATCTCGCATGACAGTCAATGGAATTGGTTCTGTGTTCAAAATAATGTCTCCCTTCCTAATACATTGTTTGTCCCTAAGCTTGTCCCAAACCTCATCTCCGTGGGTCAACTTCCCGAGGCTGGTTGTCGTGTTCTGTTTGATGAGACTGGGTGTGTTGTGCAGGACACGAAAATGGGGATGGAGATCGGGCGAGGGAGTAAGGCTGGTCGGGTCTATTTGCTGGATAGGCTCTCGAAGTTGGGCGAGACGGCTGGTGGCGGTGGTGGATCGAGTTCGTTTAGAGTATCGGTGAAGTCATTAGTTAATAATGTCGGCAATAAACATGTGTTTTCTTGTTCTGGTTTTTCGGCTCAATTGTCAAACTGGGATTTGTGGCATTTTCGTTTGGGGCATCCTAATTCAGTGAGACTTCGTACTATGTTTCAGAATCATTGGTTATCGGGATCTCTTTCTGGAAATAATTCCCATGAGTGTGCTCATTGTTTACAAGCTAAGCTTTCACAGCAATCCTTTACTGCGAGTGATACGGAGTATACTGAACCATTTGCATTGGTCCATACTGATCTCTGGGGCCCGTCACCGGTGACTTCCCGATTAGGCTTTCGACACTTTGCGCTATTTGTGGATCACGCCACACGCTTTACATGGGTGTACTTTCTTCGGCAAAAATCTGAACTGTTGACTGTAGCTCGAAAATTTGTGCAGATGGTGTCCACTCAATTTGGTCGGGTCATTAAAATTCTGCAATCTGATCCGGGTGGAGAATTTTCCTCCAACCCGCTAGCTGAACTCTTTAAAGAACATGGCATTCTTCCTCAACAATCCTGCCCGGGCATATCTCAACAGAATGGCTTAGTCGAACGGAAGCATCGTCATGTTCTAGAACTCACTCGGGCACTGTTAATTCACTGACAAGTCCCGTCCGGATTCTGGGTAGAGGCTGTGCATACAGTTGTCTATCTAATAAATAGACAAATTACTTCGACTCTTCATCAACGCAGCCCATATCAAGCTCTTTATGCTCGTCCTGCAAATTATGACTGGCTGCGGGTGTTTGGCTGTGTATGTTATGTTCTTGTACCTCGTCGGGAGCGAACTAAACTCACTCCCAAGGCCGTCAAGTGTGTGTTTATCGGCTATAGTGATAAACACAAAGGCTATGTTTGCTATGATGAGGCAAAGAAACGGATCAGAATTTCGTGTCACGTCAAGTTTCTCGAACATCTATCCTATTATGGCTCCTCCACGACCTCAAGTACCGCGTCAGACTTGGAATTTTTGGCGGATGCATGGCCGCTTGCTGAAGCGGGGCCTGCTGTTCCTCCCCCTGATCATGATGACCCTGAGACGGCTGACTCTCCTTTGCTTTCTGGCAGCTCTTCATCCTCATCTCCCTCCACTGATCAGCTGACTCCCTCCACAAGTTCGTGACCGTCCAGCCCGTCTCACCATAATTCAGCTCCTCCACTGGTTCCTCATCCGCTTCAGTTTCGTCATCTTTATCCCCCATTTCTTTTGAGCTGGATGATAATGCCGAGGTGCAGGAGTTGCACCGTTCGACGCGTGTTACTCGAGGTCAGCCGCCCATTCGCTACTCGGATTTTGTTGCTTTTGCTACGCCTACAATTTGTTCCCGCTACGTATAAGCAAGCTCGTGGCATTGCATGTTGGGAGGCAGCCATGGAAGTGGAAAAAGAGGCTCTTGAGGCCATGCATACGTGGGATTTGGTGAAACGTACCCGGACATGTCTGTTATTGGCAGTAAGTGGGTTTACTCTATCAAGATGCTTCCCGAGGGTATCATTGAAAGACATAAAGCAAGGGTTGTGGCTCAGGGGTTTCGACAGGAATATGGCGTTGACTACGCGGAAACTTTTGCTCCGGTGGCCAAAATGCAGACCGTACGGAGTCTTTTGGCGGTTGCTGCTATGAAGCAGTGGCCGTTACTTCAGTTGGACGTGAAGAATGCGTTTTGCATGGGGACTTGAAGGAGACTATCTACATGGAACGTCCGCCAGGTTTACACGAGGTGACAGTTCGATGGTTTGTCGTTTACGTCGCTCCTTATATGGATTAAAGCAGGCTCCTCGTGCCTGGTTCGAGAAGTTTCATGCGACTATTTTGCAGGCTGGCCTGGTGCAGAGTGACAATGATCCATCACTTTTTCTTCGTCTACTAGTCGTGGCCTGACGGTGCTCTTGATCTACGTGGACGATATGGTGGTGACTGGGGATGATCGTACTGGCATTGATGACTTGCTTCTTACTCTTCGATCGGCTTTCAACCTCAAAGAACTCGGTGATCTTTCTTATTTTTGGGTTGGAGATTCATCGTACTTCTGTAGGGATACATGTTGGTCAAAAGAAATATATCGTCGACTTACTTGAAGAAGCTCAGATGGATGAGTGCATTGCTTGTAACACACCCATGGAGCAAAATCTTAAGCTGCGGCAGTTAGATGGGGAGTTACTCCTAATGGTTCTCTATATCAGTATTGTGGGGAGTCTGATATACTGACTCATACTCGTCCTGACATTTCCTATGCAGTACAGATTGTGAGTCAGTTTATGTCAGCTCCACACACCTCTCACTGGCTGGCCGTTCAGCGGATCTTGAGGTATTTGAGGGGGACACAGGAGGTCGGCTTGCTCTTCCCAACTCGAGGTGACTTCATTTTAGAGGCCTACTCCGATGCAGATTATGCAGGCTGTCAGGACACACGCTGATCTACCTCCGGTTTGGTGTGTGAAGCTCGGTAACTCCTTTATATCCTGGCGTGTAAGAAACAGGATAGAGTGTCCAAGTCGTCCACTGAGGCAGAATATCGGTCTATGAGTGAAGTAGCCTCTGAGATCGTCTGGCTGCGACGGTTGTTAAGGGAGCTCGGGGTGCCTTGTCCAGTCCCGATTCGTCTGCATGTTGACAATATGAGTGCTATACGTATTGCCACTAATCCAGTGCTACATGACAGGACGAAGCATATTGAAGTTCACATTCATTATGTTCGCCAACTTGTGAGTGAAGGGACTCTGGAGCTTGTTTACATTACTACTGAGGAGCAACCCGCTGACCTGTTGACTAAGCAATGTCAATACTTACACGTCATTGGTTTTCTAGCACACAAATTGATGTTGCGGCAACACCATCAATTTGAGGGAGGGTGTTAGAAGTCTGGGTACCTGTTTGTAATTGTGTATATTAATGACGTGAGAAGGGTTAGGGTTCTCGGTCGGCCTAGTATATATTCTTGTGTTGATGGCCGACCTCTGTAACTTTGACGGTGAATAAGATACATCTCCGCCTTGTGACGTGGACTAGTCTTGACGATACTCGTAAAGGAAACCACGTAATCACGTGTTCTCGATCGTTCATATTGTGTTTATGATTATTATCATTTTCTTCCTAACAAATTTTCTAGCATTGTTATGTTTATGAAAATTTTGTTGGTAGATGGGTTTTCGTGATGCAATTCGATGGTGTCTTGATCGACAATGGACGTCGGTGGTCTTTGTAAGAGATGCAAAGATGGTTATTGATAAAATCATGAATGACAGTTAGTATGTTTTTGTGGTGGTACGGCTCTGGAGGAAATCATGATTTTGCTTGATACTTTTGGACGTTTTAGTGCTCGCTTTGTAGGCCGAAATTATAATTACTCATGGTGGTACAAAAAGTTTTTTTTTGTTTTCTTCTTTAGTAGGGCTCGATTTTGTTTCTTGGTTGTCTTGGATCATATTGTTAGCGAACTAACCACTTGGTCCCAATAACTCGAGTTGTTGGGAAAGGGATAGTTAAGCCTTTTAACCTCTAATACGCCCCCTCAAACGAAAGCCGATGCCGAATTGTGGATTTTTACAGTTTGCACAGGTTGAACCCTTGTGCTGCCAAACCACGAGGCTTTAGTTTGCACAGGTTGGACATACCATTCCTTGTACTAAACGAATTGGCATGAAATGGGGTAGTTATGAGGATTCGAAACCATGACCTTTCGGTTCTAGACTCTGATACAATGTTAGCAAACTAATCACTTGGTCTCAATAACTCGAGTTGTTTGGAAATGGATAGTTAATCCCTTTTAACCTCTAATACATATGATCTTTTGTATGATTGTATCTGTTGGAAAGGAAGCCCAAGTGTTGCATAGAAAAGATGAATATGTCACTACCCCTTGGTTGGGCCTGTTCATTTTGCTTCATCATTTTCTCCTCCATGCCCATTCGTTTTACGAATATAGAATGGGCCAACGCTAAAGCCCAAAAACAGGGGAGGAGAGGAATGGAGCATGATCCTCGAACTGAAAAAAAAAAATCTTGTGGCTGCAGCAAACCTGCCTTATCCAGTACTCCAATTGTGGTCGTCCTTACTCGCCACCAGTGCTGATTTCCTTCACCAATTTTCTGCAAAAATTTCCTCCATCTGCCTAATATCTTCACCCTTACAGCTTGAAGCTTTCTAATCTCATCATTTCCCTCTTCCAATGGCTTCCTCCACTCTTTCCCCTGCCACACACTCCCAGGTAAGTGATCAATCATCTTGTCCAACCTTCCCCAAATTTCTCAACTCGCCTCTTCTGCGGAACATTTGGTTGAGTAAGTATGGTTACTAAGTTTTTTGGGTGTTCCATTCCAGCTCTGCTCGAGCAAAAGCGGCATTTTTGCTCCAGCAAATGCTGCCTTGGTGAAGCCGGCGAGAACCCATGTGGCTGGTGGAAGGGACAGAGTGATGAAAGTCTCGTGCCAGGCCACTAGCATCCCAGCCGATCGTGTTCCTGACATGGGTAAAAGGGAGCTGATGAATTTGCTTCTGTTGGGAGCTATCTCTCTCCCCACTGCTGGGATGCTGGTTCCGTATGCCTCTTTCTTCGTCCCCACCGGGTAATGGTCTTTTTCGTCCATTTTTAAGTGTTTGATTTATTGCCCCAGAGAGCTCTACTTTATCTGTCAAACAATTCGATTTGGCTTGTTATCTTGAAGTCGTTTCTTGCTTTGGTGGAGCTGCGTTACCTTATTGGATTGTTGGCAACTTTCTTTGATGTCAATTTTGACAGATTGTTGCTATTGTGTACGAAGCTAGTTGCCTCATGATTATAGAGCTAGAAACTTTTTTCCTTTCATGTCAATTTTGATCAAATTCAATCCTGGGATACGCTGTGTGGATTGGTTAAGGCTTGGGGTAGTTTTTCCTTGTTCCTGTACCTGGCTACTTTCCTTTGTTTGCCTGATTATATTTCGGCTTCCATTTGCTACCACTCATTTGAAAATAATTTCCAACAGAACTGGAGGTGCTGGTGGTGGTACAGTGGCTAAGGATGCTGTTGGAAATGATGTCATTGCTGAAGAATGGCTCAAGACTCATGGCCCTGGAGACCGAACCCTTACTCAAGGATTGAAGGTAAATTTGTCCCCAGTTTGAGCTCTTCTGCATTCATTACGCACTCAGATTTGTATCAATGATTGCTTTGCTGCTGTTTATAACCAATGGATTCTGCCGTGAATGGATGTGTCACTGCACTGTTGCCTGTATGTTTTGTCTAAGCTCTGTTAACAATCATGCAACTCGATGGTTTTCTTTCTCAGGGAGATCCTACTTACCTTGTGGTGGAGAAAGACAGAACACTTGCAACATATGGTATCAATGCCGTTTGCACGCATCTCGGTTGTGTTGTGCCGTTTAATGCTGCTGAGAACAAGTTCATTTGCCCCTGCCATGGATCTCAGTACAATGATCAAGGCAGAGTGGTTAGAGGACCGGCTCCTTTGGTAACCATCTAGCTGTGTTGACCCTCTTCATCATCCCTCCTCTCTCTACTCAAAATGGTCCTTTACTGACAGCCTTTTTCTTGATTGCAGTCGTTGGCATTGGCTCATGCCGATGTAGATGATGGCAAGGTGGTGTTTGTTCCCTGGGTAGAAACCGATTTCAGAACAGGAGATGCTCCATGGTGGTCTTAGGAGCTTTCTTCTCATATGCAACCTCCTTATGGTTTTAATGCAAAGATGTAGTGATATGAAAGCTGGTAAATTTTGTTTGTCTGTGCTACATGAAAGAGCAAACTCCATGAACTTGAGAGCCCAGCTTGTATGAATACAAGCCGACTCCATATATGTGTGCCGTTACTTGTATCTCATCTGTGTATTTAGAGAAACTTTCCTTCTCTCTTGCATGTTAAATTCCTTCCTGGACTAGCGAAAAGTGGATCATTTGGAAAAGCAGAAAGCGAGGTTGGCCTTCATAAACCGCGAGCCTCGAGTTTAGACAGGTGGCATGAGCCCTCGGAAAATATAGTATGAGATACAAAATTGATAATTTAGCAATGTTGTCAACCCGCGGGTTGACCCGGACCCGGTCGAATTAGTGAGTCAAGGGTTAATGGGTCACCCGGTTTGGCTCGGAAATATAGAGTCATTATATTGTACTTATCCTCATAAATTATATCAAATTTTATCTAACGTATGAGTTATAACATATAATATTACACCAAAATAACATATCGTACTTAGATCCAACATATACAAATGTTCAACTTAGTATTCCAAAGATCGAGTTAGGCGAAAAGAAAAATTGGAAAATAGGCGCATTTCGCAAACTAAAGAAAAAAATGACACAATTCGAAGTGCGATTTTGGTTCAAGCAATAAGAAATTGTGATAGAAATTGGAGTGGTTCGACGTCGAACTTCGGTAATCGTAGTGAAGGACATGAATTAGAAGGTTTTAATGTAGAAATTTTAGAGGTTGGAGTGAAGAATTGGGGAACAATAGTGAGTAGTGACCAACACCAGCTGCTTTTCTTAAGCATATCTTCAACTCTTCCTTGAACAATGGACAAGTTATCAGTAACTCGGCATCTTGATAAGATCGATCCATTCATTCACACCAGTGCAGTTCATCTCATTCCAGGTAGGAATGCACTATATGTGCCTTCCTCTCCTTGCGAGTATCTTCATTTCTTAACCACCTTTCTGCCGTGTAACCATATCCCATCCTCCTAGCCATTCACTTTCGGAAATTAATTATGACAGGTCGAGGTCGAAACAAGATGGTTTCATCTCCTTCGAATAAGGGGATTGCAGTTTCCTCTTCCCTAAAAAAATTCCTCTGAAAACTAGCAAAGCGGAAACGAAAGAACACGATCAGTTTACGTGGTATCCTCGTTCAGTGTGAACGAGACTAATCCACGGAGAAGGAAACCCTTCTCAGTTTTCTCTTATTCTCTTCGTCGGTCTACAAGTTAGAGAGGAAAAACAAGAACAATATATATATAACCCTAATGCAACATGAACTCTAGGGTTATACGTAGGAACTGTCAAGAACCAGTTGATCCCAATAACTCGAGTTGTTGGGAGAGGTTCAATCGTGAATCATATACCACAACACTAACAGGAACCATATGGCAAAAAGACCAAACAGTTCCTACTAATAAAACACGACTCCTTCACCCCCAGCAAGCGGAGCATGCAAGTCACAAATGCCAAGCTTGGAGAGAAGATAATGAAACAGATCACCACCAAGACCCTTCGTGAAAATATCGGCAATCTGATCACGCGAGGACACTTTCGTGGGAAGGATAGTGCGAGACGTAACATGATCCCGATCAAAGTAACAGTCAAGCTCAACATTCTTTGTCCGTTCATGAAACACCGGGTTAGCCGCAATATGCAGCGCAACCTGGTTATCGCAATGAAGGCTGTAGAGTCTGGCTGGGAAACCCCCAGCACACGAAGAAGAGCACGAAGCCAGATAACGTCACTAACGGCACTAGCCATGGCCCGGTACTCAGCCTCAATAGAAGAGCGGGAAACAACCGTCTGCTTCTTAGTGCGCCATGAAATCGGAGCACCACCCAACATAACAAAATAGACAGTAGTAGAACGACGAGTGAGCTGACACCCAGCCCAATCGACATAACAGTAAGAGGTTAACCACAAATCACCCGAAGAGGGTAAGAGAATGCCCTGGCCCGAGGCATTTTTAAAATACCGAAGCACCCGTTCAGCAGCAGCGACATGCACAGGAGTAGGGGAGTGCACAAACCTACTCAAAATGTTGACAGAGTAAACAATGTCAGGGCGAGTGACCGTGAGGTACTACAGACGACCAAACAGCCGATGATAAGCCGACCGATCAACCTCCGCGGAAGAAACAGAATCTCCATCATCAGTCGGAGGAGTCCGGGTGAGTTGGTGATTCTGTTCGACAGGTGTGGAATAGGGACGCCCCCCCCCCCCCCCCCGTGAGACCTGCATCCTGGAGCAAGTCAAGAGTATACTTTCGTTGACTTAAGAAAATACTCTTCTTTGAACGAGCGACCTCAAGACCCAGAAAATACTTCAGAGGTCCCAGATTCTTGATCCTAAAGTGATCATCCAACGTGGTTTTGACATGCTAAATGAAGTCATCATCATCCCCAGCAAGAACCACATCATCGACATAAATCAACGCAGTGACGAAACTGGTAGTAGTCTTGCGCATGAACATGGAGTAATCAGCCCGAGACCGAGTGAAACCCATGGCGAGAAGAGTAGCAGTAAATTTAGCATACCAGTTGCGAGAAGCCTTCTTCAAACCATATAATGACTTATGCAGCCGACAGAAGCGAGTTTCTCCGGGGGCAGCAAAGCCTTGAGGAATCTTCATGTATACTTCTTCCTCAAGATCACCATGCAAAAACACATTGTTCACATCAAGCTGGTGAACAAACTAACCATGAACTTCAGCGACAGCAAGCAAGGCTCGAACACTTACTAACTTCGCAACAGGTGCAAACATATCATGATAACCAATGCCTTCAACCTGAGTAAAGCCTTTGGCAACAAGACGTGCCTTATAACGTTCCACAGTCCCGTCCGGATAATATTTAATCTTATACACCCACTTGGGTGTGATAGCCTTCTTTCATGGGGGCAAAGGAACAAGCTACCAAGTGTGATTTGCTTCCAACGCATCCATTTCTCACTGCATAGCCGCCCGCCACTCAATATAACGAATAGCTTGATGGAAATGATTAGGCTCTGGAACCTGAGTCATGGATGCTAAGAAGGCTCGATGAGAAGGGGAGAAAACATGGTACAAACATGCTTCTCAAGAGATGGGGTATGTTGGACGGAGGTAAATCGGTGTCATACACGTCAAAGTGACGTGGTACGGTACGCTCCCGGAGACTGCGACGCACAACGGCAAGGGGGCTAGTGCGCTGGCCTCAGCTGTAGCATCTGGTGACTCAGGGAAACTCATAGTGGACGCACCGTCTGAGTCTCGATCATGAAGGTCAGCGACTACCGTCCATCATCTTCATCAATGTCATCATGAAGATCAGCGATTGCCGTCCCTCTTTTCATCAATACAGCGGGGACGACTAGTTGGGAGGAAGGAGGGAGCTGAGAGATCCCGCTGGGTGCCCCAGTGTGAAAAGGAAAAACAGTTTCAACAACACCATGTCACGACAGGCGTAGAATCGACGGGTAGTGAGATCCCAAAGACGATACCCTTTTTGGCTCGCGGGATAGCCAACAAAGATGGACGGACGCCCGCGTTCTGCAAACTTCGAAAGGCCCTTATAAGTACCCAAAGACCCCAAAGACGCGCAAGTGGCTATATGTAAAGAACGACCCAAGAGAACCTCATAAGGTGTCGATTTTGAAGAGTCTTAGACGGAGCATGTTATCAAATAAGTAGCAGTAAGGACGGACTCTCCCCCAGAACTATAACGAAAGATTAGCCCGAAACATGAGGGCCCGAGCTGTATTCAGAAGATGTCGATGCTTTCTCTCAACAACCCCATTATGTTGAGGAGTGTCTGTGCATGATGTCTGAAGAAGGATACCGCGATCCTCATAAAATAGGCGTAAATGATTTGTTTGAAACTCCATGCCGTTATCGGGCTATATCCGAGTAACAGGCTTCTGAAATGAGTCACAGCCATGTTAACAAATTTCTCTAGATACCGTTCTGTCTCAGATTTATACCGCATCAAATAAAACCCAAGACGCCCAACTAAAATCATCAACAATCGTAAAAAAATACTGAGCACCACTATGAGAAGGGGTCTTAAAACCACCCCATATATCCACATGAATCACCTCAAAGCAACGAGTGGTCTTGATACTACTTGGAGGAAAGGGTAAACAAGTTTGCTTTGCACGAATAAATGAATCACATGAACTAATCGTGCACTTATTCCGAATAGAATCAAATAAAAAGTTGGTCTTTTTAGCTGGTGGATGCCCCAAATGAGAATGCCAAACTTCATCCATGCGAGAATTCCCCATGGACGCCGGCAAAGCCTTCGATCTGGTGGCATCAAATAACTGGAGGTAATAGAGACCACCTCTTCCCCGTTACCAATCATCTTCCTGGAGCGTAAGTCCTAAACAAAGCAAAATCGTGCAAAAATATCAGGCCACATCAAAATCCTGTGTCAATCAGCTGTCTGAGAGAATGTTGCACTTAAAAAAAGGAATGTTCAAAACATGGCTGAGTTTCATCCCTCGTGACAGGCTAACATCACAAATGCGTGTAACCGGTACACTGTCGCCGTTAGGTATTTTAACAGGAAGGTAACCTGTAACATCCTTTGCATTCTCTAAAATATTGGAACCATTTGTAATATAGTCATTGCAACCCGAGTCTATGACCCATTCAGAACTGGACAAGTGCTTACCCGCCATGTTTGCCGCCGCCTCTGGAGTTGAGGACGAAGTTCCCTGACCATTCGCTTGGTTCAAGAACTGAAACAGCTGCTGCACCTGTTCTCCCGATAAT